AAAACTGGACACACAGTTTTGTTTCCTTAGAGGTTTTCTACTTTCTTATGGATAATAAAAGCAAATATACTGTTTATTAACTGTGTATAGTGTTGAAGCAATGATTGTTCAACATCAACTTCGTTGGACTGGTCATGTTGTGCGGATGCCTGATGATGATCTTCCAAAGCAACTACTCTATTCCGAACTTAAAAATTGAAAGCGTAATACTGGTGGTCAACAAAAGAGGTTTAAAGACTGTCTCAAGGCAAATCTAAAAAAAGTAGTATAAACACTGACAACTGGGAAACACTGGTCTGTGAGCGCTCCAGCTGGAGAACAGCCTTTACCAAAGGTGTCGTGGGCTTTGAAGGCACTCAAACTCAGGATGCAAGGGAGAAATGTGCTAAGAGGAAGGCACACTTGGCAAATCCACACCGTGATCAACTCCCACCCGGAAACCAATGTCCCCACTGTGGAAGGATGTGTGGATCCAGAATTGGCCTCCACGGTCACTTACGGACTCATTGTTAAAACCGTGTTTATGGAAGACAATCTTACTCAGCTACGAGTGATCGCCAAAGAAGAAGAAGATTATTAAATTATATTTATTAACTGTATTCTGCACTAGTTCCCCACCCCATTAAAAAGAAGCGTTAATCTATAGAATTAGGTATTTCTAATTAGAAAATCCTTTTATTATTTCAGTCAGAGGGTTCTTCCTCTAGAAAGGTCTTAGCTGATATTCTGCATATGTCAGATCTGTACATGCAGTACAAATCTGAACTGCGGGTCCTGTATTGATAGTGACACAGAATAAAGAAAAGGTAGAAATCGGAGACTGAGTATGTTCTTTGCTGCCATTTCAGCAAAGGGATTCCCTTTCAGAGCATATACATGACCTAATGTGGCTCAATACTTCTCTGAGGCACACCCTGCTGAAGCTAAACAGCTCTGAGGCTGGTCTGTGCCTCTGGATAGCAGGCCACCTGAGAGCCACATATATGTGTCTGTGAGTTCCACACTGGAAGAAAGGTGGGTATAAATTGAGAAAGTAAAATAAATCTAAAAAATTCCAGACATGAATCCTATGCCATTAAGTTGTAACGTGGAATTCCCCCTCCCAACCACATTCAAAACAAATGAGGAAATAAACAAAGTCATTTATTGCATAGTTGCTTCTTCAAAAACCAACTTGTTTGACAGAGAAACAGACTAACCAAGAGGAACCTTACAGAGGGAATGGTGCTTCTTTCTCCCCTTTCACCCTGCTGTAAATGGGCAGCAATTAATTACAGAGCAGAAATGAATGCCAAAAACTTTGGTTTCCCTGCAGCAAATTAAAATGAAATCCAGTCTTACCCACTGAAATATGTGAACTATTAATATAATAACAAACAAATCATTTGTGTTTTCAGAAATTTCAGACACCAAATGCCGCAGAAAGGCTATTTGAATTTCTGGTTCTCGCCTTAGTTCATTTTGCAGTTGACCTGAAGGCAGGGGAATTTCCCAAGCCCAAAGGCCTACTTCTGCCAGTGAAGCCTTCCTGTTTCCTCTAGCTGTTTTGAGTCCCTAAATACTCTGGATGATGCCCCTCTGACCATAAAAGCAGTCCTATCATAACTGTCTGAAAGTATCAAATAGTAAACAGAAGGGCAATCACACGCTGGCTTGAAAGTCGGAAAGCTGAACTTTAATTTAAAATGTTGCTTCAGATGTAACTATATGCCTAGCATGACAATTTCCTCTTTCAATTAACAACACAGTCATTACCCAAGGAAATAAAGCTTTCCCTACCCAAATGTGTTTCTCAGTTCTAAACAGGGACACATTTCCTCAGCTCTATAGAAAGAGGTTTTGTGAAACAACACGCTTTCTAAATGTTCCATATATTCTGGGTGCTGTATTAATCTCACTGAGAAACACCCAAACCCGGACATTGTAGTATTTTATTTTTCTGCTCTTGCTCTCTTGATACATGACAGATCACCAGCAAGTTCATCTCTAAACTGAGCTTGACAAGAACTGAGTGTCCAGTCCACACACAGGTACACTACAGATTCCTTCTAAATTTCTATTAATTCTGATTTGTTGAAACATGTCTTTATGTTAAGCTTGATCTTGCTCTGCTGGAAGCTATTCAAACCATGCTATTTCAAAAATGTGTAGGCTACAATAATTTCAAGAGTCCTCAAATGACTTACTTTAATTGACTGAAAATTGTAGCACTTGCAAGTAGCTTTTTGTCAAGAGTGGCTGCAGAGCAAGCAGGCTACATCTCTAGCCAGCTCCAACTATATTACAGTCATACCTTGGAAGTCGAACAGGATCCGTTCCGGAAGTCCGTTCGACTTTCAAAACGTTCGAAAACCAAAGCACGGCTTCTGATGGGCTGCAGGAAGCTCCTGCAGCCTAACTGAAGCCCTGGAAGCCCAGTCGGATGTTCGGCTTCCAAAAATATTTTGCAAACCGGAACAGTCACTTCCAGGTTTGCGACGTTCAGGAGCCAAAACGTTCAGGAACTAAGCTGTTCGGCTTCCAAGGTATGACTGTACTATAAAGCAAGGAGGGGAAAATTCTGGTCCTCCAGACATTGTTAATTGACACATCCCATTATCTCTAAGCACCCGCCATACCGGCTGGGGCTAATTGGAGTCCAACAGCCACAGTTTTTCCACTCCTGCTGTAAAGTAATTTTTTTAAAAAATAAATAAATAGCTGCAAGCCCCCTTGCATCCTTCCAATGTCAGAAAACGTTCTTGCTCCCATTTTAAAACTGAGATTGAAGGAATGCAGGGAAAGCATATGTAGAGAGCATATGTGCCTCCACTGAAATGTGTGTATTCCCTGGATTAATGTTCATCAACTTCTTTTGGAGAGCTGTCTTACCTTGGGTTGTATGGGAGCACTCTTCGTTGGTGCTCCTACATCTTCTTGTGTATATTTATGGGGCTACAAGATGCACTGCAGGAATGATTAATCCCCACTGTGATAAATGGATACATATAATGATCTCAAAACACGTTTTAGGCAGATAACTCCAAGACAAGATAAAACCCTTAGATTTAAGCTGCTCCAGACACTTTGACTTAGAAGGAAAGAAAATGAACCCATTTCCAGGTCTTTCCTGGTTGTGAATAAGATCCTGATACTAAGTTTTGTATATTTTATTTTTTTTGCATTTTTGTGAACCGCCCTGTGATCTTTGGATGGAGGGCAGTATACAAATCATTAAGTAATGATAATGATAATAAGTTTTGATCAGCTTATAGATATAGTCAGTACAAATTGCCTGTAAATTTAAAAAAAGGTTCACTACAAAGCAGACAAATTGAGGTCTGGGCCTTTAGCCACCTCTCCTAATGCCGCTAGCTGTTTCAGGCCTGTTACAATGCCGTTCCCTACAGACTGATCCTTATTCAGCTTTGCAAACAGACCAGCCATCCCTGAAGCCCATCTTTAGAGCTCTGCTTAAAATAAGTTCTCTTATTTGTCTCTTCACCTCCACTCTTTTCACCAAGCAAGCAAATGTATTACTTGGGGATAAATGAGGAGAGCTCTGCCAGATCATATTCCTCAGGGTGGTCAACCATAGGCTTCTGGAAAGCTCACAAGCAAAATATTCTTCTGTGTTTTGAGCCTCAAAGAGCTATAATCAGAGATTATCCTCCTAGCGGCAATTTAGTGCGTGGCAATGATGTTACCTTGAAAAAGAGCCTGTTTTAAGCTGGTGTGATACCAGAGGTTTTGAATAGTCCCCCCCCCCAAGCAAACAAACAAACAACAAACAATCCTTCAGGTTGTGCATTCAGTCAATTCTCCCCCCCGCCTCTTTCTCCAAAAGCCCACACTTACCAGACACAGCTCTGTCTCCTACACAGAAGAATGGAAGCAAATAATTAATTCAAACTGCCTACCAGAGGATCCGTGTAGCAAAAGCTCAGGCGAAAGGGACCTAGTAAAGAACTACATTTCCTAGAATTCCCTGGGAAGAGATATTGATTGGTAAACTCCTCTGAGAATTGCAGCTCTGGGAGGGGAATAGGGGGTTCTTCTAACAACTGCCAGCACCCTTAACAAACTACAGCTCCCATAATTCTTTGCTGGAAAGCGTGACTGTTTAAAGTGGCACCATAGTGCTTTAAATGTATACAGTAATGGGAATGTGGCCTAACTCTGCTCAACGTTCCATTCTAGCCTCTTTTCAACAGTGAAGGAGGGAAGAAGCCCATGGAAATTAGCAGAGGCAAGGGATGCAAGAAATGGGACATGAGAAAATGTTGGTTCAGATGACCTTAGGCTTAGCTTCACGGAGGGCCCAGGCTGCAGTTATGACCTAGTCCTTATCATATGCATTAACTGGCGCGCGCGCACACACACACACACACACACACACACACACACTGTCCTTGGCTTTGTTAACACAGTCCGATGTCCATTACAGGAAGTTAAAAGAACAGAACTGCAATGAACTATATAGATAAAAATAACCTAATGGGCTTCCTCGCACAAAATCATGATGTTATAAACCCATCACTCCCGTCCTCAATTACAATCAAATTCATGTTTTCCTCTCTAGGCTTTTGCTGAAGCAGGTTCCGTGCTACTTGAGGATGTGATGGATGGTTCATGTATTGGTCTTTGCCTTCAGCCTGCCTTGGCTCGCTGATTTATGGAGTTTTATTGACAGCAGCTGTAGCGGAAAGCATTTCTCCTAGCCCCTCTCCATCACAGATAACGTGTCATAGACACTGATACTAAAAAGCAGACAGTTTGGAGGCTTGATAGAGGAAATTAGGCATCAGTAAACCATGAAATACCACTGACTGGCTTGTCTGTGGCAGAACAGCTTCGGAGGGGCTGTGGTGTCAATTCTACAGGAAGAATACAGATCACTGCTCACTTGAGAGACATTAGCGCATTTTCGGTTCTTAACTACCCTTCCTGGAGGATTAACTTTTTTTCCTTTTCTTTTTTTGCCAGACATGAATCCTCTGCCTCTCTGTCTATGTAGCAGATGCAAGCAACTGGCAGCCAAGCACGATACAAGTGGAATTATGAGGGCATATGCCAAACCCAAACTTTTCTGCATTCTCTTATTTGTAGAGTTACTGTTTCCTGAGTGGCTTCCAGGTTTATGTTAAGGTACCAGAGTACATAAAATACCTTAATATCTACTTTGTACCATGCCACTAATAACAGGAATCTAATTTAACATTGTTTTATCATGGCCTTTTAAGTTGTCTGGCTTGCTCTTTTTGATGTGTCACCCTTTTTAACCCTCCGTTATTTATTTTTATTATTATTACAGTATTTATACCCCGCCCATCTGGCTGGGTTACCCCAGACTCTGGGGAAGTCCACACGTAGACTCATCCAAGGATAATATAATACAACTCTAGTTTGCCTTTTCCCCTTTTTTTTAGTGCTCAGGTGCTTCTTAATATATTCCCTAAAGCATGACCTTCTGCAGTACTTTGGGCATATCATTCTGAAGCCCCTAAAAAAAAATCTAGGTGATACACTAATATTGATTTTTTTTAATAGTATCAACAATACCTGCAAAAATGCATTCCCTGAAAAGGACCTTTTAATATATTTATTCAATCAATCAGCAATTTTAGAAAATGTTAACACTGCTGTTCTAAGTTTCATTGCTGTTCCACTCATTTTTGTTTCGCTTTCTCTGTTTTGTAGCTGTTGCTGTCCAACCTAACCATAGATAGAATTTTGTCGACTGCCTAGAAAACCCTGGTGTAAAGGTGAGACATAAATGTTTGCAAACTGTTTTTAGGGTTTTTGTTGTTGTTTTTTTACACTCAAGCGGTGTATAAATTTTATGAAACAAAAATAAAATAAATGTAATGGATCTGATTTTTATGATAACTACAATATGCCTACTGCAAACTGGCCTGGCTTTCTCCTAACTCTTCTAGGAATGAGCTCCGTGTACTAAAATAAGCTGACCTTCAAAAGGACAGCACTTGCTTCCCCACTCAATGGCAGTCTTACAACTTTACAACATTAACCCTGAAGTAGCCAAGCAGATGGTGCGGTTTCCTGTGTGCAGTTTACTATAATATGAAAGGGGAAGTGAGTGGTTTGGCCACATAGCTGCACAGGATACAAGACAGATCTAGCCCAGTGTGTTCTTCTATTCTGAGTGGAAGCTGCTATCAAGGGTCTCAGCCAGAGGACTTTTCCTTCATTGGTTCTCAGTGGACAGCCAGTTGCCTATGGGAAGCCTGCAAGCAGCACCTGAGCATAAGAAGCCCTCTCTCCACCTACAGTTTTCAGCAACTGGTACTTAAAAGGCATACTGCCTGCCTCCAAAAGTGGAGGTAGTACATAGGCATCATGGCTGGTAGCTACAGATAGCTTCCTTTTCCATGTATGTGTCTAATCCTCTTTTAAAGCCATCCAACTTGGCAGCCATAACTTCCATAGTTTAGCTATGTGCTGTGTGAAGAAGTGCTTTCTTCAGTCTGTCCCGAATTGTCTTAGCGTTCAGCTTCATTTATCCACCCACTTTCTCCACCTACTATTTAATTCTGCTTGATGCCTAGAGATGTTAGAGATGGAACCTCAAGAGAGCCTGCTCTAGTAAGTCATTTGTGGGACTTAGAGATATGGTAAAGAGCAGAGAATTTGAAACTGAGGAGAGAAAGGATGGTATTTTTTGTCCTATAGAATGACCACCAGAATGATCATTTCATACTCTTGTAGTGGGGAAGGCTTTAGGGCTCACAAAAGTTTGAAAAGACCTCAAAAGTAATCTAGTCTAACCCCTTATTTTAGTCTTTTGAAATCTGGCAGAGATGCTGTTCTTTAGTTTAGGAACCAATTAAATCCAATTCCTGTCAGCTACCCACAATGGCATACCACATATTTTAAGTCTGTTTCAAGTTTCATGAGATTTTCGACAGAACTTCATTCTTCATTAACTTGTCAAATTAGGAAAATTAGGAGATCTGTCAGAGTTAAGTGTAGTTAAGATTGACGATGATTTTTTAAGATCAAAATTTGGGATATCCCTCCTCTACTTCTTTTATCTAATTTCCCTCATCTCTCCTCCTACTCCCCCAGCATCCTATGAGAAATTATCACAAGGGGAAGATGAACTGTTCCGCACTCAAAACTGCTCATGATACTTTTTTTTTGTTAATTAAAGAAAAAAGATAAATTTTGACATTTAGGTACATGTGAAAATGTTTATACAAGTAATTCACTATGTCAGTTATTGTGTCTCTTTCTTGCATTCAGTTATTTGCATTATAACAAGTCTCTGTGTGTCTCTCTTTCCCTCCTCCCCACTCCCGGTTCGTAACTCTTCAAGTTGATCCCATGGCAGGAGGAACACACACAAACCATTCTCCTCTGTACATCTTCCAGTTGGCAGAAAAATGCATTGACACAGTCCTTGGGGAGCTGTCGCTCCTTTGTACCCACTATGTAGGAGGACAACATTTAATTAATTGGCACTGATAGAAGTGTGTGATCTCTTTGGAGTTTTCCTTTGAAGAATATGTAAGACATGGAATTCAGGAGATGAGTGAAGGCAGACTCGGCAGTTGTAACAGATACAGGTCCTTGATGTACTGTCTCTCAAGTAGCAGGTTGCTGTCTTCTGATTCCCCCTCCCCGATTTACTTCCATCCAGTTAAATCCTTTTATCCAAGGCAGGAGTGTTTTGAGATCCACAGTAACAGCCTCAGCTTTAGCGCAGTGGGACAATTCAATCCTCCTAAGCTGTCAGCGATTCTTGAGCCAGATGTTCTTCAATGCGTAATATGAAGATGTAAAAAAAGAGTCAATTGCTCTAACTGGAAGTGAACTCGGAGAACACGGTTTAGCTTTTAAATCATAGCATTTCTGAAGATGTTGAATAAGTGCTTATTCTTCTTCTTAAAAAAAGAGGAAACATCTCACAACAAATATGATGGATACATGCATGTAAGATCATGTAGATTCAAAAGGCTAACTTTCTCTGCTGTGATGCAGACAGTTCTCAAAAAGAGTAAGTTCCTTCGAAGTAGAAATTGTTAAGAGTCATTTCCATGCATTTGTTCTGCACATTCACATGAAGTGCTTTAGACTAGCAAAGATGGCCGATCTTGCCTTGCCTTGCGAAGCATCTGAGCCTTTTGGAATTGCTACAATTACAGCATTTATTACATACTGAATTTATATCCCGACCTTCCTCCTGATGCAGCCCAGGGCGGCAAATTTTTAAAACAAAGCAAAAATGTTATAAAACAGTCAAAACATTAGAAAAAAATACAGTTAATACAGTGGTGCCTCGCAAGACGAAAAGAATCCGTTCCGCGATTCTTTTCTTCTAGCGCTTTTTTCGTCTTGCGAAGCAACCCCATTGGTGGCTAAGCGGATTAGCGCTATTAGCGGCTTAGCGGCTAAGCTGTTAAAAGGCTATTAACAGCTTAGCAGCTTTGAAAAAGGGGGGGAAGCGGGGGGGAAATGGCGAGACTCGCAAGACGTTTTCGTCTTGCGAAGCAAGCCCATAGGGAACTTCATCTTGCGAAGCGCCTCCGCGACGGAAAACCCTTTCGTCTTGCGGGTTTTTCGTCTTGCGAGGCATTCGTCTTGCGGGGCACCACTGTATCTCTAATAGCAGTTACAATTTAAAACATTCTTCCATCCAGGGATCTTGCAGATGTCATCAGCCACCCCAATGCCTGAGTAAACAGGAATGTTTTCATATTCCTCCTGAAAGTTAGTAAGGATGGAGGCAGGCACACCTCAACAGGGAGGGTATTCCCAGGGCCTTTTCAGTAGTGGTCCCACAGCCAAGAGATATGCCAAACTCATCAGTCAGAAAAAGAAGATTGGGTCCACACAAGATTTTCCAGAAATTTCAAGAAAACAAAGAGCGAGAAAAGAGAGCTATTCTTAACAAACCTCGGGCATTTCACGACAGATCAGGAAAACAAAACAAAATCTGCTAATAATGAATGGTATAAGGTGGATAGGGAAAAAAACTAGACATGTGGGTCAGAGGGAGGAGAGAGGCTGAGGTTATGGAAAATATTAACTTTTCCTACCTCAGGTTTCTGACATCTTCAAATGTTTCTTCAGATGAAGTGAGTGCAGCAGAATTCTATATAATTACTGCTGTAGACGCCTCTTTAATTAGTTGGCCCAGCGGACAGCCTTTCATCCTTATTAAGAGGAATTTACAATTAAAAGGCATTGTGTTAACTGCAAAGCTGTACTCCGGGGAGCCATCGAGCCCTCTGTTTCACTGAAGAGGCCCATCTCATTTGGAAGAAGTGTTAAACAGGACCAAAGCATATTTTTATGCCAAGGCGAGAGCAGAAGCAGATGCACTGTGCGTATGAGAGCAAAATCAGAGAATCGTAGAATTGGAAGGGACCATGAGGGTCGTTTAGTCCAACCCCCTGCAATGCAGGAAACTTCCACTACCCTGAGATTAAAAGTCTCATGCACTACTAACTGAGCTGTACTGTGGCAGCACTGGAGCAAGAGGCAGAGTTATTGAGCACCTTAATGGCACACTCCTAAGGATATTTACAAATTAAGTCCCACTGGTTTTAAACATGGCATACTTTCGTATAGATATCTGGGCATTAAAAAAAAACATTCTCAAAATGTCCAGATATACCAGTTTTGCCCAAGAGCAAGAAAAATAAAGAAAAGGGAAAACAGAGTGAGCGAGCATTGAAGGGAGGACCTATCCAGCCACTCTGGATTACTGAACGTGCGTGCACATGCAAGAGACAGATTATTATTTCTCTAGGCACACAGTTCGAAAGGTCTAGTTTAATTACCCCACCCAAATCTGGCATGGCTCCTCCTCGTGCACCAAGGGCATCTGATGCAGGTGAGGGGATGCAAAATGGATTGTGTTTTGGTTTTTTTAATCTTGCCTTTCAACATTGAAAAAACCACCACCATCACCCTGCAAAAAATGGTAGAGAGAAAAAGCAGAAATCACGGCACAAGCCTGCCAACAAAGTAAAATCAGCAAGCACACAAATGCGCAAAATTATCATCTCATTAAAAGCTTGTGAAAACATAAAATTTTAGAAACCAGGTAAAAAGGAAGTGTAGACACCAAATTCCAGTGGAGGGCATTCTGTGACCAGAGCACCTCTACAGTAGAGGCTTTATTACAGATTAAAAACCACATTATATCAGAGCCTGGAGGCACAGGGCGTCTAGGAACCTACTTTGAATCAGGTGGTCCTTCAGAACGTTTGGCCCTAAGCCAGGCATAGGCAAACTGGGCCCTCCAGATGTTTTTGGAACTACAATTCCCATCATCCCTGACCACTGGTCCTGTTAGCTAGGGATCATGGGAGTTGTAGTCCCAAAAACATCTGGAGGGCCCAGTTTGCCTATGCCTGCCCTAAGCTATATAGGGTTTTATAGGTCATACACAGTAATATTGAGCTGTGCTCAGAAACCTTGCCAGCCAGTTAATTATTTTAAAAAGAAAAACTGTTTGAATAGTCTTGAAGGACAGCTCCAGATCCACGAGGGCATGGCTGACACCAGGCACTGGCAGCAGATGCACCAGCTTAAACTGGTGAAAGGTGCTCCACGTCAACAAGGCCACTTACACCAACTAAATAAGGACTAGATCAAGGGGCATCCCAAAGCTGCAAACTTGAATTGTCAATGGGGAATGCAACCCAAAAACCAAGAGGAACGTCACCACCCAGATCCAGTGACACCCCCCCTCCCTAACTGTACTTACATTTTGTCAGGATACCGGTTTGTCCACCTTCATCCAGTCCATTAACTACACCATGAGGTTGCAGAATATGCCTCTGGGGGCCCCAGAATGAGACAAACCTCTCCGGGCGTCTTCCTGATGTTGCACAGCTCCGGGACATCCACAAATTTATCAGTCCCTGGGCACTCCAGCGACGCATAGCAGATGCCTATGTGTATGCACACTCAGCAGAGATTAGCAAAAACGAAGTGAAGATTGGTGTGCTCATTCTAAGCTTTTATTAAGCAGTATATACAGGACAAAGTGATCATGGCGTCCTCTCACTTCAGCTCCAAGAACCGAAAGTAAAAAGTACAAAAACACAACAGAGCAGAAGAGATAAGGCTAGCTTCCGTTCTCAGGCTTTCCAAGCCTAGAAAGTAAACACAGACATGTGATGTAACAGTCACACATCAGCAACAGAGGAGGGAAATGCTAACAGAAGTACCTGTTCCACACTTCCACTATATCAATGGAAATATAATTTATGACTGTTACAACACCTCACTCCAAACGACATCATTTGGTGCTGTTGTTGTAGTATGTTTCATGGCACGGGGGACAAAAACGGCACTGCAGTATTTCACAGTACAAGTGTCAGAAAACAAAGTGTGAGAATTCCCCAGCACCACTTTCAGGAGTTAATCCGACAGGTAGGAAAAGAATTACGGTCGTACCTTGGAAGTTGAACAGAATCCATTCCGGAAGTCCATATGACTCCCGAAACGTTCGACTTCCAAAGCACGGCTGCAGGAAGCTCCTGCAGCCAATCGGAAGCCACGGAAGCCGCGTTGGATGATCGGCTTCCAAAAGAACGTTCAAAAACCAGAACAATCACTTCCGGGTTTTGTTCGTTTGGGAGCCGGAACGTTCGACTCCCAAGGCGTTCGGGAGCCGAGGCATCCTAAGGATACCAGGATGAGTCCAGAAGGATACCATGGCTGATGGGTGTCAGATACCAGTGAGAAATCCTGGGAAACTGCCAACTCCCTTGCCTTATCGCCAGTACGCATTGTTCATCAGGGCAGCCAAGACAGTTTCAGTGCCAATCAGGCTAAAAGTCACTCTGAGTTGGACTCATACAGTGGTGCCTCGCAAGACGAAATTAATCCGTTCCGCGAGTCTCTTCGTCTTGCGGTTTTTTCGTCTTGCGAAGCACGCCTATTAGCGGCTTAGCAGCCATTAGCGGCTTAGCGGCTATTAACGGCTTAGCGGCTATTAACGGCTTAGCGGCTTTAAGAAAAAGGAAACAAACTCGCAAGAACTCGCAAGACGTTTCGTCTTGCGAAGCAAGCCCATAGGGAAATTCGTCTTGCGGAACGACTCAAAAAACGGAAAACCCTTTCGTCTAGCGAGTTTTTCATCTTGCGAGGCATTCGTCTTGCGGGGCACCACTGCATACAATCAGTGCCATCTAAGAGTGGCTGGCGTGGAGGAGCTAGTGTTATGAAAGGGAGAAAAACTCTTATTTTTTTCACGCTTTGCATAATTTTATAGACTTCTATCATGCCAACCTTTTCTCTAAACTAAGATGTGCCAAACTTTACCCCATTCATCGTTTTGGTTGCCTCTTTCTAAACCCTTTCCCAATTCTACAATATCCTCTTTGAGGCAAGATGACCAGAACTGTACACAGTGTTCCAAATACGGCTACAACATAGATTTGTATGACAACATAATGAGATTGGCAGTTTTATTTTCAATTCCATGCCTAATGATCCCTAGCATGGAATTTGCCTTTTTCACAGCTGCTGCACCCTGGTGGGTCAATATCAACATTGAGCTACCCACTATGACTCCAAGGTCTTGTTCCTGGTTGTTCATTGTCAGCTCCTGAGTCACCTCTGTTGCTGGCAACAGGCCAAAAGGAAAGACGTCCCACCAACGCAGGTATGGTTGCTAAATGGTATGGTTTTATTGTACATGGTGCATGCCTATGTCTAAGAGGGACTTTACTATGTTGCTATGGAAGCCAAATAAAATAAAGTTAGAGAATGGCAGTGACATATTCTAAAACAGGGGTCAGCAGACCTTTTCAGGAGGGCCGGTCCACTGTCCCTCAGACCTTCTGGGTTAAATAAAAGGATACATTCTACTAATGTAAAAATACGCTGATTCCCAGACTGTCCGCAGGCCGGATTTAGAAGGCAATTGGGCTGGGGCAGGCCCCTGGGCCTTAGTTTGCCTACCCATGTTTTAGACTAGAGCATCTTGTGATGTTCAGTGCTGAGCTGCCTCTCCAATGTTTCCTCAATGAGACGAAAGCGATTTATGAGCCCTTTTTGAAATTTTAGTAATGGCTTCTTCAGTCCTGTTTCTTTAAATACTGTGGACATGCTGTACTGTTAGGTCTTTGAAAAATATAGACAAATGTTTACTCTTATGTATAAAAATAGCATATCAGGGTGGTGGCCTTGAAGAAAACTTATATTTCTTTTTAAATAAAGAGAGAGAGATCCCAAAAATAAATGCAGTTCTGAATAGATGTGTACGAGTTTATAAAACTTTTAATAATGCTAGTTAAAATGCACAAATCTTAATTTATAAATACAAATGAACTAGTACAAAAATTAAAAAGGGGAAATTGATTCATTTAGAAACACATTGAATTCCAATGGCTGCCTCTTGTAGGATTAAATGGGTTGTTATCAGTGCAGTCAGAACGATTTCCAAAATACTAAATGCTAATCCAGTAATGCTGCCTAGAAGAGAATGCACATTCCTCTAGCTCATTGTGAGGAACTAAATAAATCTTTGGTACTGTAATAAAAAGCAGAACAAAAACTCCAATAATTAGTGCGGGGAGGAAAACACACACAAACTAATGTTGAGAATTTTCACATTCATGCTTCAAAGTGTAATCAACTTTTCTTCTCTATCGAAAAATGTATTTAAGGCGCCATCATAGCTTGCAACTAGATACAGTTGAACTAGTTATGTTCACAATAAAAATTACTATGCATTTGATACTGACCTTCATGGGTGAAGAACACATCTGATATGATTGCAGGGGGTTAAGAAGGGAAGATCTGTTTTATAAAAAGTTTGCTAAAGAAGATTTGTTAAGGTTCCCATTTTAAGTGAGAGCACAGCAGAGGGGTTTAAGTTTTGGTGTTTGTTTTTTTAAAAAAGAAATATTATACTTATTATTATAAGTATATTATAATACTTATTAGAAATATTATACTTATTTAAATTCAAACTATATTAGGCACCTCTGGAACAAAGAGTTGTGATTTCATTCATCCCCCCCCAATAGATATTTGAAAAAGCTAAAAACAAATGCCAATCAACAACTGACTGCTCCACACCTGATGGCAGCTTCCATACCACAATCAGCATAACTGCATCTGTTCCAGTGTGACTATGATCACAGAAATCAACAGTGATACATCATCACAAACAATGCTTCAACCCGAGCAATGTCCAGCTTCAAGCCTACCCGTGCTCTCAGGACAGATATGGGCCATCACCAAGTGAGAACCAGCCCCTTATTTTAAGGGGCTCGTATTTAAAGAGTTTAAAATTAGTCACATCAGAAGTGTATTTTCAGTCTATGGGCTCTGTTCAGTGATCATTAAAATATATTTACAGTATGCGCATTATCAGTGCATAAGCAGAGGACATTGGAAGCAATCCAGGTACTGTGCAAGATCCATTCATTTCCATGGAGCTTGAGCAGGATTCCCCTTGGATTTCTCCCACTGCCTATTAGGACAGTGCAAATTACAACCTCTCTGGGGGACAAATCTGTGTGTATCTCTTAACATGATAGGAATGTCTCAAAGCAAAGTATTACAGAAAAACATGGTTCACAAAGCTATCAATTTCTCTAGGTACAGCAAGTCTAGAAAGAGCAGCATATCATGCCTGTGCATATTTGCATTTGAACTAGGTATAGTAAACTACTTAACTGTAAAGTCTTCTACCTTAAAAAGAAAGGAATACTAAGTAAAAGTGACCTTTTTTTTGTTAAGCAGTCATGAAAGGAAACATCACAATCAGCAACTGAGGCAGCAATACTCCTTGCTTTTGAATAGCACCAGCTCAAGAGGAATATAACAATCTAAAATAACCAGGCTTTGTGGTGCTTTTGCAAGTGTTTTTGTCCATCTTTCCACTGTGATGATCTCAAAAAACCCCAAAAAAACTAAAAATTACAACTTGAGTTCAGGACTGTCTCCTGTGTTAATGTCTCCTGCGTCCACCTTCAAAAGCATGGTGCTCTTTGTGAGCTGAAAGACAAGATGACGCAATTATTAAATATGCAAGTATTAAATACATTTTGTTGATTAAAGTCATTTGGACAGCACACTCTGCTACATGCACAATTTTTACTTACGTTTATAAAAAACTGCTTTAAAAGATGTTTGGGGCAAAAGTTCATAGATCTTTTCTAGAACTGTAGCTTCACTTGCTAACGACGCGTTTACATTCCAAACTTGAACAACATCTTCCCGATCACGGACACTGACGCTAACTCCTATTACTTCATCACCTGCCAAGAGAAAGCATCGTCATCATCATCATCATCATCTAAAAACTATCTTTGTTACTGGAGCCAGTATGGACTCCTTACCCCAAATCAAAAACACACCATGAATAAAAAACAACAAATTAGTCCTAAAGGACATGTTGTGAGGTGGTGGAATTTTACTGTAAACATGCTTTTTGTACAACTTTCCCATGTAACTGGTATGAATTCTACCTCGATAATTATGAGCTATAAATAGGTAACTTTAGTATTAAGCTTATCATAGAGATTTTTGAAATGTGTTGCCCTGTTTGTGCTTTTGGCTTGTCTTTGTTGGTATGACTGAACCACAGGGGTCTGGGAGATGGCAAGTAATTCAACCCTGCATGGCTTTCCAAACCAATAAAATAATAGCATTATTTTATTTTACTACCCATTGACACATATTACTTATTTCATCACTGTAAAACAGGCATCTCCAACCTGCGGCCCTCCAGATGTTTTGGCCTACAACTCCCATGATCCCTAGCTAACAGCACCAGTGGTCAGGGATGATGGGAAGTGTAGTCCAAAACATCTGGAGGGCAGAAGGTTGGGGGTGCCTGCTGTAAAACAACTGTACCTATAAAAGGACATTTATTTATTTATGGTTGGTACTATATTGGGTATACAAAGCCGGGGAGGGAGACCAATCAGGCAAATTCAGATTTTAACACAGAAAAGTACCTATCCTATTTCTAATGCTGTTTGCTAGCATTATCCCAAGAAGTGCTACATAAGAAAATATGACACTACAGATAAAAATGCAGACCAGTAAAAAGGTCACAAACCACATTACGGGGATAATGTAAACAGCTGAGCCCTGTATCTGATTTTTATATATTACATGCATACACAAAAAGACCAAACATGGTCAGGCAGTAGCTGAATGCGTGGCTCAGGAGACAATCCTGTTAATTTCAATGGGCTTTCACCCAGGTAAGTGTATACAGGATTGCTGCCCTAACAACCAGTATAATTCTGTCTGCTCTAATTATTCGGGGAGGGCGGACTATTTAGACATCCCAATCACTATATATAGTGGACATAGCGTAAAATGGTACAACAGTTGCATTGTTTTGTGTTTTTAGACAATTAGAGAGGTCCCCAAATCACTAAGACTAAATCTAAGCATGATTGGTAACACTGATATTCTATTATATGAAACTTAATAGAATTTGTATTTTGTTGTTGAAGGTAAGCCTGTTCTCAGCAGAGAAATCTAGAGAGAACAAATCAGCAAAGAACATCAGCATGATTTGTGAATCTTGTGTGTAAAGCTGGAGCGCCTAACATCTCTAGGACCCTCATTGCAGTGTGTGGTGCAGGCTTTCTGTTGGTGCATAATCAGGCACTAAGGGAGGCAGAATCTTTTGCCAAAGCACCAGTGCCCTCTTATGCTTTATTTGTCTTGACTTGGTCAAGAAATACTCCTTTCAAATCATTAACCAACACAGCAGGAGGATGCCTTTCCACTGTAATGACCGAAAGTGATGGCAGCCAATGGCAGCAACCTCTTTCCTCTAGGTTCTCTCTTCTTCCCTGGAGTCACTTTGTGCAGGATCTGTGGCAGTCCTGTTCCCACTCTCTGTCCACAAATTCTACAAAAAGCGAGCAATGCCGATATGTCAAAAGTAGGATGGCAAGTGAAGACATTTACATTCTTCTCCTGGCAAGGATCGAACAGTTGGATAATTCTCTTGGATTATGGAGGTTGCCTGAACAAAGTTGGAGAAAATCAATCCCTCTCCCTAGGCTTAATCAGGCAAAGGGACAATGCACTTTGATAGGATGAAAAGTGTCAGCAGGGGATTTTTATTTGTAAGTTGTGCTAGCAATGAGTAACCTTTTCTGTGCTGCACCTATTTTATGCTTAAAACTAAAGCAAGGGGTGCTCAAAAATCAAGACAAAAGCAAATAACAGGAAGTACTTTCTCACCTCCTGCACAGCGGTCTGTAAACTGTTCCCCAATTGTAGCAAGCAACAGCTCTTTCCAAACTGCAGACTAGCAAAAAACCAAGAAAATGAAGAACCTGGTTACGTTGCAGTAAGTATTCCCTTTGCAGTTTGAACAGCTATACTGTCTGCAACAGCCACAACATTATTCTGGTGCATTTTATTACAATTTCACATAAATTATATCTATATGTTTAACTTGAACTTATTCAACAGGTGATATCCAGCTAATTCATGCTCAAAGCAGAACCATAAAACCAGTGGACTTGCCCATTAATTTCATAGGGTCTACCCAGAGTATGATTTAGTTGGATATCTCACCAACTTCAATCAAGACTTCAATGATCATGCATCCAAATCTGTTCTGGAGCAAACTAGATACTATAGGCAGGAAAGAGTGCAAAAGTAAAAGTGAAGATACTGGCTGTCTGATACATATACAACGGTCATTTGAAGAAAATAGTAACAGTGCCAGCAGCTTTTAAGCAGCCAGCACCCATATGAATGGAAGACTGATGCTCAGAAAACAACACACACTTCAGAATGCTATTAGAGGCAGAAGAAGAAGAAGAGGAGGAGGAGGAGGAGGAGGAGGGAGGAGGAGGAGGAGGAGTTTGAACTTGATATGCTGCCTTTCACTCCCCTTAAGGAGTCTCAAAGCAGCTAACAATCTCCTTTCCCTTCCTCCCCCACAACACACACTCTGTGAGGTGAGTGGGGCTGAGAGACTTCAGAGAAGTGTGACTGGCCCAAGGTCACCCAGCAGCTGCATGTGGAGGAGCGGAGGCACAAACCCAGTTCACCAGATTACGAGTCTTAACTACTACACCACACTGGCAGACATAAAATGTCCATGATAAAAAATAATACATAAATAAAAGGCCATCTCATTATACAACTGAAGTTTAGTGTGAGTGATCCTTTACTGTTAAATAAGTAGACCACATGCACCTGCCTCACCATAACCAACTGGGTACGACTATATACAATGTTAAGCACGTACCGTATTGTCTTTGGGGACCTTCATTTTCCACACACCTCCCTTGGCATTACTTTCTTCTTCCCTGAGTTGTGAGGAAAAAACAACACTTGGCTGCACAGACTGGCAATTTTTTTACACCTAGGTACAGTGCAAAGGCACAGATTCCAACAGCCCAGAATCTTACCTCATTTTAACATAAAAATAAATGCAAGTGTTTAAGCTCTGAAGCAGGGGGAAATGCCTAGGGAATTCTGAGAATGTAGGAAAGGACCAAACAGGATGCCTAGTGGTCAGGTTTTAGTTCAGGCATAGGCAAACTCGGCCCTCCGGATGTTTTGGGACTACAATTTCCACCATCCCTGACCACTGGTCCTGTTAGCTAGGGATGATGGGAGTTGTAGTCCCAAAACATCTGGAGGGCCGAGTTTGCCTATGCCTGCTTTAGTTCTTCACCCCTTCCCAAGCCAACACAATAAATAAGTCAAAATAATAATAATGGAAAGCTTGTCCATACTTCATAGAAGTTGCAGGACTTGAAGTACTTTGAGAAAAAAAATGAAACCTATTGTGCTACTGTCCTCCAGCACCTGCTGGCTGAAACAACTGCTTCACACTGCCTAATAGTAGGCAGACTCTGAGTAATCTGCTGGTGCATGAAAAGAAGATTTTTCTGAACATAGCCTGATCATACCTAAACATGTATTTGTCACGGATCATATCCAACAAGTTTGTCCCAATAGTGCAAAGACCATCGTCCTGCGTGATGAGACTTTTCTCCCCTCCCTGCCCAATCTGCTTCAAAGGGCTGGAGGAACCTCTAGAACAGATTGAAGGATGCATAGGGAGAGGACATCCTGGTGCACAGGTGAAAGTCTTTGCGCTAATAGAATAACTTTGTTGAATACAATACTGCAATTTAGGTAACCCTAATTCAGAACCTAAGAGTTATGATACAAGTATACATTCTAGTGCTGTTTAAAGCAAAATCTGGGTTGTGGATAGGCAGTTCCGCTGGTGAAAGTTTCAGAATAAGTGAAAAAGGCAGGGAAGGCACGCAAGTCTATGGTTTATTATATATAATATACCGTATTTTCCCCTCTATAACACGCAGATTTTTTCTCCTAAAAAGGAAGGGGAAATGTCTGTGCGTGTTATTGAGCGAATGTGTGGTCCCTGGAGCCAAATGGCAAAAAAAATCAGGCAAAAATCAAATCGCGCGTCTCGGAGAAGGGAAACCTGAAAAGAGGAAGCGGCTGCTTTCCTGCATTCTGCCTCAGGGTCTTACTGCCCACCCTCTTCTGTTTCCTTGCTGTGTTTGCTCAAACGGAACAAAGAGCAGAGAAAGCCCCTCCCCTCCAGGCAAGCAGAGGGGAAAGCAGAGTGTCGTCTGCTGCTGAAAACATGCAGGAGGGAGAGAGAGAGAGAGCGCGCGAGCTGGCTGGCTTGGGTGGGTAGGTGAGGGAAAACTTTTGCCTTCCTTTCCTCCCTCCCGTTATACCCCTCTCCTGCATTCTTAGCCAGCTGCTTCTCTGCACACCCCTCTCGTGCTCCTTGTCCATTCTGTGTTTTTCCTTCCCTCCCCACTTAAAATGTGGTTAAAAAGCATGGATCCACATGGATCCTCAGGATCTTTGCATTGGGTCACCCCAAATTCACCATCAGATCACATAACATGTCCATGGCTACAGCCTGCCCCCCCCCCAAAATCACGCACCCACTGTTGCCTGGGGCTGCAATGGTGCAAAAATGTGGTTAAAAAGCATGGATCCACATGGATCCTCAGGATCTTTGCATTGGGTCACCCCAAATTCACCATCAGATCACATAGCATGTCCATGGCTAGAGCCTGCCCCCCCAAAATCACGCACCCACTGTTGCCTGGGGCTGCAATGGTGCAAAAACGTGGTTACAAAACATGGATCCACATGGATCCTCAGGATCTTTGCATTGGGTCAGCCCAAATTCACCATCAGAGCACATGTCTGTGGCCACAGCATGAAGCACAAAAATGATAGATCCACTGTTTCATTCAGAATGTTTTTTCCCTTGTTTTCCTCCTCTAAAAACGATGTGCGTGTTATGGTCAGGTGCGTGTTATAGAGCGAAAAATACGGTATACACTCCTCAGACATTATTAATTATAATCTTGATTATTAAACCACATTTCATGAATTAGAAGACAAAAACAAGGCCACTATCAAAATAATTAAAAGGAAATGACTTAGCGGTGACATTAATGCTACCAATTTTCCCCTACAAAAATGTGACTGTGAAACTTTTGATCAAGGGGACTTCAGAAGAAATAAGCATATTTTTTTCAATTATGACCTTCAAACTATGGCCCCTCTTAGATGCAGCTTTCAAATACAAGTGCAGGTATGAAAGGAAACAGAACAGCTTTCATTTCCCTTTGGCATCCTTCTAGCATAGAAAAAAAGGGAACAAATCCCCTATAAGAAAGTCTAAAATAATTTCGGAAGAGACAAAAACACTTGCCCAAACATACAGCTCACCTTGATCTTGGGTATAATGACTTTTTACATCAGGTGCAGGCAAGACTTGTCAGCAAACTGGGTGAGGTTCACCAAAGCAGCAATTTTATCAAGTGTTGCTCACTTTTGCAATCTGCCCATGTTTACACCTATACTGTAGACTGGTGCAGCCCCTCGTAGCATTAACTTCCTGAGTCTACAAGATTGGCATAATGGTTTGTTGCCTTTCACCATTGATGGCCAGTACTTTTTTCAGAACTGCAGCTTAAGCAGCAAGTGCCTTTAAAAAAACACATCTGTGTTTTTTTTGATACGCATTCATTTGTACAGACTGTTTTTTACAGTATTTGTCTTGCTTTCCTCAGTAGACTCTTCTCATGGTTTTAAGGGAAATACATTGTGCGTGTAACAAGAACGTGCACCGCATTTTGGTCTTAGGTTTTAAAAAGAGCAGGTTGTCAGCATCAACATCCAAGTAAGCAGAAGTTTGATTCAAGTCAGCAAGATCCATAGGGGTGTTTTGTTTTTGTTATTTCTATAAATACATTCATTGGGACGTGACTGGTGCTGTGGGTTAAACCAGTGTTTTTCAGCCTTTTTTGGGCAAAGGCACACTTGTTTCATGAAAAAAATCACGCGGCACACCACCATTAGAAAATGTTAAAAAATTTAACTCTGTGCCTATATTGACTATATATAAAGTAATTCTCTTGAATAGGAATCAAATAAACACAAAGAAAGTATTTTATAATTACTTTATTATGAAATAGTAAGTAAACAGAAATATGAAAAATTATAAAATACTTTATTTTTAAATCTTTCGAATTTTTCAATTTTTCCCACGGCACACCAGGTAACATCTTGCGGCACACTAGTGTGCCGCGGAACAGTGGTTGAAAAACACTGGGTTAAACCACTGAGCCTAGGGTTTGCCGATCAGAAGGTTGGCGGTTCAAATCCCCATGACGGGGTGAGCTCCCGTTGCTCAGTCCCTGCTCCTGTCAACCTAGCAGTTCGAAAGCACGTCAAAGTGCAAGTAGATAAATAGGTACCGCTCAGTGCACTGCTCTGGTTCACTAGAAGCGGCTTAGTCCTGCTGGCCACATGACCCGGAAGCTGTACACCGGCTCCCTCGGCCAATAAAGTGAGATGAGCGCCGCAACCCCAGAGTCGGCCGTGACAGGACTTAATGATCAAGGGTCCCTTTACCCCTTACCTTCATAAATACATTGGACATGGCTACTTCAGGCATGTCCAAGACCTTGAGCACACCCAGCAGGATATTGCACTTTGGGAGCATAAGATGTACCCCTCCACCACCACCCGCAAAACCCCACTTGTATCTCTGCATTTGTATCCATTTCAAAGGTGGTCTGCTACATGAAAAAGTGATCTACTGTTCCAGAAACATAAATCCATAGCTTCATGCTGAGAGAGGGCAACTGATTGCACAGTTCCCTGAAGCCCAGTCTTGTCTATGCAGCACTTACCACAAATAACCAAAATTTCAACATATTTTAACTTGATTTTGCAAATCCTACTTTTTGGCAATTATATGCAAAAATCATATTGCATAATATTAATGTTTAAAAAACACCATGGGCAAACAAAAACCATTTCAGTGTAATTTATCATGTTTACTAAACAGTTGTTGTTGTTTTAAAAATAACCTTCTGATCTTCCCCCTGCCCCCGCCTCTCTACTTTTGTTTCTATTCCCCCCCCATTTCTTCTAACTTACACGTAAATAAACAAATAATGAATGCAGTTTGTGCCCAGAGCACCATAATAATGCGAATATAAACATACCACAGCGGCCGTCTTTCTCCACGCATTAAATGATAACTACATCTCAGAGGCAGGTTTGTCACAGGAGGAATATTGTTATAAACACTCCAGAAGATCTAAAGAGAATTATTACACTTCGTAAATTCACACATAACAGCATGGCATTTCCTTGCTTTGTTTAGCTCTGTAGTACAGCACATGCTCTGCCTGAAAGAGGTGCCAGGTTCAATCGCTGGCATCTCCAGATAAGGAAGACCACCCCCCGCAAGAGAGTCACTGCCAGTCCAAGGAACTGACTTGGTATAAGAGAGCTCTCCATGTTCAGAAATAGGGAACAGGGTGTTGCTCTTGTTTTTTCCACATGCTCCCCTAACCTGAAGGACAGCTGTACCAAGACTTTTTGATTTCCTATATGCCCTTCATCAGAATATGCCAGGGTGGGTTACTATAAAATACAGTCCAAAACTATTACAGTGGTACCTCGGGTTACATACGCTTCAGGTTACAGACTCCACTAACCCAAAAATAGTGCTTCAGGTTAAGAACTTTGCTTCAGGATGAGAACAGAAATCGTGCTCCAGCGGCACGGCAGCAGCAGGAAGCCCCATTAGTTAAAGTGGTGCTTCAGGTTAAGAACAGACCTCCGGAACGAATTAAGTACTTAATCCGATGTACCACTGTACAGTGATTTAAAAAGCAATAACCAAGTGAAACAGTTTCAGGTATTGGAACTAGACCCAGTTGTGTTTCCTAAGGAAGCTGGTTTTCTTCCACCGTGGTTGAAACTGAGCCACTAGCCTACAACTGATCTTCAATAATGCAACAATTCTGTATTCAGTGCCCTCTCAGATGAGCTTGTAAGTCACCACTTAAACTTGCAGCCCATAACTTTCGGCAAAACAACTAACACATTTTAAAGTAAATTGTAGCTATAATGTTATCTTCATAAAGAAAACAAGGAACCTCCAACATCCTAAACAACAAGGGAATTGAGTCAACAATAAGCATCTCAAACAATGATTTTAAACATGACATTTTAAGCATGCTTTTTTAATTATTAATTTTGAAAGGACAACTATCCAGTATACCTATAGCTAACTAGTTCTGCATTGAACATTCAAAGGGTTGTATCCAATGTAGCCATTGCACAAGCAGAATGAATTCTGTTTCGGCAATGAATCTTCACCTTCCCTTTCATGTGCCTCCACACACCCCCATCTGCTCTGTGGGTTTTTTGTTTTTCTGAGTGTACACATTTTTGAGTGTGCATGGGGGGAGTGCATGGAGAAGAGAAATCATGTTACACCACTAGCTGCTACTAAGAAATTGGGTAAGGGGAATCCTGGGGTGCAAAATCTTCAAGACGACCATGTGCATATATTCCTACCTGGCCTTAACTCCCCCAAACTAAAGACTATGGGTGGTATTCAACTAAGTTCTGCTCACGGTGGCCTCACTGAAATTAAAGAACGTGACTAAGTTATGTCCAGTGATTTCAATAGATCTGTTCTGAGTAAAACTTAGGAGACTACTCAGGGAAGAATTTCATGCAAGACAATGTACAGCTGGTTGCATCTAACCAAATCACTGTGGGGGGGAGCATCTTCCACTTGTGCAACGCAACTTCTCCACCCACAAATATCTGCTCTAAGGGACCCCCCAATTCTCCAGAGCAAGTTGGGGGTGCACACTGGGGGGGGGAAGCTACGATCCAAGGCATGAACAGACGTTGTTCCACTCATGCAATGACGTTGGACACAACCTTGAATCAGATCATTACAATCCCTGTACACTGAGAACAAGAGGTACAGGACAACTTTCAAATGCAAGAGCAGGTTGCATTTCTGCTTCCAAGGCGGCAATGGCATTTCCCACAAGATAAGGGAGAATTATTCAGTGCCTTTTTTGCTTGTGGGCTTTCTCTCATGTTGATGTTTGGTCTATACAGATTGGTGGGTTCATTTCTGTCTTCCTGAGTAGGCCTCAAAAGATGGGGAGCGGACACTGGCAGCAGGAACGCAGCCTGGGATTCTGCGCATCTGTACTGCAACATAGTGACAAGGCCTTTACCTCACACGGCCTCAAATTCCTTTTGTTTCATGCACCAAAATTAGTATTCACAGAACCCCCACTTCCTGAAAATGAGCACTTTCTGTGTCTGCTTGACACTGCGATGAGACCAAGTTAGACTACACAGTAATTTTCTTTGTTTTACTATAGCACTGAGGAATTCTTCTGTTCTCAGCTTCAAATTTTTGCCTGTTTATCATAAACTAGCAGAAACTGAGGCTGGATTCCCTACAGTTCAGCAGCTTATAGATCCATTCATGACAAAAAAAAACTTTTTTTAAAGTAAATTAGTAAATGTGTGGCTTTTTTAAAAAAAAACCTATACTTTTAAATTTAACATACAAAGAATGATCATTTTATTAGGGGCAAACTCAGTGATACATAATAAGTTTTCTGTTCCTGCAATAACAATGACTTTAGTCCTGTAAAGGGTGTTTGCAAAAGCATTTTTTACCTAATTTCTACTGATCGTAATACAATGCCTTATCATAAACCAAACTGACTGATTTTTCAAATGTTTTGTTAGATTAGAAGTTACATCTCAGCTCTGGAAAAAACCCTGTTTGGTCTATCGATAATATATGGGATTTTATATTGCAACATGAAATTCTCATATGCAGCATCTTTGTTACCTGTACAGTTTGTACTGTGTAGATTTTCTTTAAATTTGATGCACATTCAGCAGCTGTTGTCCCAGGAAGTGACCTTGAAAAAAAGAGAGAGAGAGGAAGAAAGCATATATTTAAAGATTCGGTATAGTAAGTGTACTCATCAGATTTATGAAAAGAAAAACATTGATATACAGTGGTACCTCTGGTTATGAACTTAAATTTGTTCCGGAGGTCCATTCTTAACCTGAAACCATTCTTAACCTGAGGTACCACTTTAGCTAATGGGGCCTCCCACTGCCGCCGTGCGATTTCTGCTCTCATCCTGAGATAAAGTTCTTAACCTGAGGTACTACGTCCGGGTTAGTGAAGTCTGTAACCTAAAGTGTTTGTAACCCAAAGTACCACTGTAATAATAATTATAATAACACAAAAGCATGCTTTTAAAATACATTCATATACGATGAGAGCAGGTACCATAACTTACATTATGAAAGTTGACATGGTAAAATGGTGAATCTGATCAATATATTTTGGTGGGTTGTTTTTTTTTTTAATCAATATATTTGTGTGATCATCCAACTCTGCTTCACAACAAAGCTGTGTGTTTGAGAATTACCAAATAACATGGGATTTGTGGGTGGAAGGAAAATGGAAGTCATTTTTTTAAAAAACCCTATTCTGTTTTGAAGTCAGATTTGGGGAGGGTGGTTACATCTACTGACAGAAGGTGATGATATAGTTTCTTGTTTCTCTCTCTCCCTCCCCCCCTTCCTTCCAATCCTATTTTTCAATTTGGTTAATTCATTTTGAAATTGAATGTAGTTTTTTTTAATTTTACAGACATTTTGTCGTTGTAATTCTGCACACGTTCTATTTGAATCCAGAAATTTCCCTCTTTTTTTCTAAACTATAATCACAAGTGTTGTTGTTGTTAAAAGAAAATAATAATAATAATAATAATAATAATAATAATAATAATAATAATAATACTGGGAGAAAGGCAACATGCACACATTTTGTTTTGTTAAATAAAAATATTAAAGTTCCAATCTTGCACAGTTAAGCCGTTCAACTCCTATTCAGAGGGTGTTAAAGAAGCATAATACTGCAACACACTTGCTTCCATTGAATACAGTAGGAAATTACTTCTTTGTAAATATGATGAACACTGACAAATTGGAAGAAATACTGACAGGAGGGTGGGCTGCTCATATCCACCCAAACCTCCATGGACGTTCTTTAGCTTCAATCCTTTTTTTCTGGGGGTACGCAGGGGTTTGCATACCCCTAAACATTTTGTGAATTTCTGTACTTTTGTCCATTTACTGTATTTATTTCCCCCGATTTGAACCGTAAAATGGTGGTTGCCTTGAGTCAAAATGAGAGTACTCCTAAACTTTTTTTTTTAAAAAAAAGCACTGGCCACAGGGATATACAGTGGTACCTCGAGTTACAAATGCCTCAGGTTACAAACGCTTCAGGTTACAAACTCCGCTAACCTGGAAGAGCTACCTCAAGTTGAGAACTTTGCCCCAGGATGAGAATGGAAATCATGTGCTGGTGGCGCAGCGGCAGCAAGAGGCCCCATTAGCGAAAGCACGCCTCTAGTTAAGAACAGTTTCAGGTTAAGAACGGACCTCCAGAACGAATTAAGTTCATAACTAGAGGTACCACTGTATTTTAAACATATTTTGCATCTCAAAAGGTTTAAAGAAGCATTATTCTCACAACACAGGGGTTTTAATAAATTATTCTATTCGTTTTACATCTGTGCCACTAGATGGCCACATTCTATAAATCTAGCAAGACCCTCTCTATAGTGAGTAAAATCCAAGAATAAAAGCTCACACAAGTTAATTAATGTCATGTTATTTCTTTTATCATGGGATCCTGTTCTCATACTGAAACGGGCCATGCAGAGGTCTTAAATATACCTGCATACATTTCGTACAAATACAGTACAATATACTTCTGGTTAAGTTATCCATATAGACAGTGCTTTTCTTCTTAAAAATGTTTGGGGGTACTCTCATTTTCCTACTCATATTGAAATACTGCCCCTCAATGAGGCCAAACTTAGATTCACAAAATGTTTGGGGGTGTGCGTACTCCCTGCGTACACCCCCCCCCCGAAAAAAGCACTGGATACAGATACCCTGGAATGCTTTTTAAAAGAGACTAACTCTGGAGGAATCATGTTGCTTCTCCGTTACGAAACTAACTTTAACAGCATCCTATGGACTATTGCAGGCATAGGCAAACTTGGCCCTCCAGATGTGTTGAGACTACAACTCCCATCATCCCTAGCTAACAGGACCAGTGGTCAGGGATGATGGGAGTTGTAGTCCCAAAACATCTGGAGGGCCAAGTTTGCCTATGCCTGGACTACTGAGTTAGCAGGATCTATCTAATCTCATGCAAGTGATATGCACCCAATATGGTTCAGTAACCAATTACAACCATAAGCTGACAACCATAGCAGCAAGATGGACAAGTCTTGCCAAGCAAGAAGATCCTACAGAATCTTCATATCACCTACAGAATTACTGAAACCCAAGGCGCACCTTTATAGCTACATATCGGGAACACTTGGCTTGCTGTAAGAACTGACCCTTTTTTTTGTACCACGAAAAGCTCCAAATTGGGATAATTTATCAAGCAAGATATCTTTTGGGCCTTCAAAAGAGACTACCGAACTCAGGATAGCAAAGAGATTATGTTATCTTTGTTACAGAAGATGAGCCAAATGAATGTGTGATTGGAGCTACGTGTCTTCTGCTAACAGTCTCATAAACAGATGGAAAGTGAGATAATGCTTAATGTACTGAAAAAGTATCCCTTCTTGTAATGTTTGCTCTAGCCAGAGGTAATCATTACATTACAACTTTTTATTTTAAAAAAGCAACCCAAATCCATGACAATATAGGGAATGACTGGATTTAGACTGTCTGAAAAGCAGGTAACGGACAACATCAAAACCAATGGCTGGCTGTTGGAATGGCTAGACATGCAAAATTCACCTCTAATTGTACATCTCTCTGGATCACGCTTCCTGTTTTTAGTTCCAAATACTATTTCTGTTGATTGGAGAAACACTCAGTACATTTGCAGATGGCAGAAATCTTAGCTATCTTAACTATTTTTAAAGTATGGGGAGAACAGAGATTTTTTCCAGTAATTTGCCTCACATAGCGATGAACCACATGTCATTTTACAACAGCTTGAGAAAACTGATTTCTCCTTTGGTATGCTGAAGAGAGATGCTGAATCATCTTATTACAAACTTAACTAGAAAATGCACATGCACTCAAGTCAGATTTCCCCCAAACTGTTAAGCCTCTAGTTAGCTGCCTTAGACTAATAACTTCCATCTGCTGTACCTAACACAAAACAGATTCCTGAGAACCTACTAGTGATCTACTAATTATTACTATCACAGGCTTCTTTGGTAAGCTTTCATAAGTTGTATTTTAAAGGGGGAAATACCCAAATGGGCAATAATTGTAAAAGATATATGATTCACTGCAGATTGCCTCAGACAATACTAAGAAACAGCATAGTTTCAAGATGCTTTTCAAAGGGCAGTCCCACCAAACGTACATTACGGGGATCTAGTTTAGAGGTTACTAAAGCATGTGTGACTGTGGCCGGGTCAGTCATCTCCAGGAAAGAACACAGGTGGTGAAATAGTCAAACCTGTTGAATGGTTTCTTTAAATTTTAGGTTTCATTATTGTTTCACAAGATTTGTATGTCTTTAAGGGCCAGAGCAAATAACATGACCTAGTTTTACAGCTGTGAAGCAGTATACTGTAGCAGGTGCTGTTATGTTAATTAAGCTGTTGGGTATAGTAATATAAAGAGCAGCATGTAGCTCTCTCAGTACCCTTGTGGATGGGTCACACTTATTGATATACAGTGGTACCTTGGGTTACATACGCTTCAGGTTACAGACTCCGCTAACCCAGAAATATTACCTCGGGTTAAGAACTTTCTTCAGGATGAGAACAGAAATCATACAGCGGTGGCAGAGCGGCAGCAGGAGGCCCCATTAGCTAAAGTGGTACCTCAGGTTAAGAACAGTTTCAGATTAAAAACAGACCTCCAGAACGAATTAAATTCTTAACCCGAGGTACCACTGTAATGTAATTTAGTGTAAAAGGAATTTTGTTTTTGTTATTTTATAAACCAAGCAAAAGTTACTTTTGCGTTTCTTGAATGTGTGGTCTCCCCAGCACACCTTCTGCAGCCCAACTAATCTGCGAAATAGCCAACAAAACCTAGACAAAGCACTCCTGGATGATCAGGTAGCAGCAGTGATTAGAAGCAGACAGATTGACTACAACTCTGCATCCTAAAAGTGGCTGGGCCATGCCCCAGTAGTAAAGCATACTCTTTGCAGGCAGAAGGATCCCATATTTAATCCCTGGCACCTCCAGGAAAGGCTGGAGAGACCCTTGTCTGAAATCATGGAGAGCTGCCAGTCAGTGTAAAGGATAGAGTGCTAGATAGGTATAAAAGGTAAAGGACCCCTGGGCGGTTAAGTCCAGTGAAACTTGACTATGGGGTGCGACGCTCATTTCACTTTCAGGCCGAAGGAGCCAGTGTTTGTCCGCAGGCAGCTTTCCGGGTCATGTGGCCAGCATGACTAAACTGCTTCTGGTGCAACGGAAGCCAGAGCACACAGAAACGCCGTTTACCTTTCCGCCACAGCCGTACCTATTTATCAGCTTGCACTGGTGTGCTTTCAAACTGCTAGGTTGGCAGGAGCTGGGACAGAGCAACGGGAGCTCACTCCATCACGGGGATTTGAACCGCCAACCTTCTGATCGGCAAGCTCAGTGGTTTAGACCACACCTGTGTCCCTAGCAGTGCTAGATAAACTAATGACATGGCTTGGTGTAAGGCAACTTCCTATGAGTGCAGCCCTGTCCAACACAGGCTGCATACTTAAATCCTGGGTTACCAAACCCTCACTAAACACAAACAAGCAGATGGGTGCAAAAGAGGGTCTGCCTGGCAGCCTTGATGTATGAATTTACTTCTGTAAGTGAAGCTCTTCTTCTGTTTATAGAACTACTACCTTAATACATAC